GTCTTTCTGCTGTGCTGAGAAGTACAGAGGAAGTCAGGTGATGACCCCGAATCTCATGCCCACGTGCTGCTTTCCCTTCCAATAGCCGCCCAAGAAGACCTCTAAAAAGGAAAAGCCGAAAACAAAAGCCACCGCAAAAAGCAAAAAATCCGTCAAAAGTGCGAATGTGAAGAAGGCCGACAGTAGCACCACCAAGAAGAATCAAAACAATTCCAAAAAAGGTATGTCAGAAACTCCCTGTTGGCGCCTTTAAAGACGTACCTCATCCATGCCATGGCATGTTGTGTAAGTGTGTACGTATGAAAATAGACGGACTGCAAAGAACATTTGGGGAGAATAGTAAAGGGTGTGTGTGTGCGTACGTGTGTGATTCTGGGAACTTAAGTGCATGTTTTATAGTTAACCCGTAAAGGACTTTAAAACCTCTGAGAACCATATTAAGGCATGTGGAAATTTTACCAACCTGTCTTCAATATTAGCTTCCATGGCTACTTGACAAGAACTTTGACTTCCACGTAATCAAATATCATCCTTTCAGAAAGTGAGTCTGACGATAGTTCTGATGATGAACCTTTAATTAAGAAATTGAAAAAGGCACCCACCGATGAAGAGTTAAAGGAAACGGTCAAGAAGCTGTTGGCAAATGCCAACCTGGAGGAAGTCACAATGAAGCAGATTTGCAAAGAGGTACCTGAGCAAATGCTTCTGCTTTGGCTTTCGTTTCAGATGCTCCTTCATCCAGCCTCTGCTTTGCCTTCTGGCCACCTGTATACAGGTGCTCCTGTAAGGGGGGGGGTGGGGAGGCGTTCAGGGAAAGAACACCTTCTCTAAGGGGAGTTCCTGTAGGAAAACATGGAGTGAATTAAATTTAAACAAACTGGTGTCGTCAAAGCTGGCTCCAGACCTTTCTTTCCCTCTTGTTTGCTGCACCTTCATTAGATGTGCTGGTTTAACGAGCAGACTGTATTCTCAGCATGAGTGTGACCATGAGCTATTCTGACTAGGTTCCTAACTGAAATGGCTGTGCTGGTCTAAGGCTTCTCAGGAAACACTGTTCTTAAGTATGGTTCCATGGGGATTCCATATTCTAGATCAACATAAGGAGATCTTTAGGGGCCAGTGATGTATGGTACCATGAAACTCAGGCTGTAAACATTTCCAAGGTGAAATGTTGTGTACTTGTTTTTAAAGCATTGAATTCTGTTTTCCTTCAGTTGTCATTGAGGTGCCCGTGCTCTGGTGTCCCTCCCTGCCCCCAACACGCACACTCACCACACACACATGCACACACTCCCCACACACACACACGCACACACTCCCCCCACACACATACACACTCACCCCAACACGCACACAAACACCCCCCACCCCCCAGATGTCAGGTGGAGCCAGAGGAAACCAGTACTCGGCTGTGGGGACTTCCTGGCTAGGGTGGAAAGAGAAGCCCGAATGCTGAGTGCATTTCAGCAAGTAAATCATAACGCGCTAGAGAAGGTCTGCAGCAGCACAGAACAGACAGGACTCCGGAGTAAGGAAGGGCTGGAGAAATTAGGAACATTGACTTGGAAGCAATCCCATACAGTTACTAAAATTGACACATTGTTGGAAATGCCAATTACAAGGAACGCTACCTGGTTTAAGCCTTCACACTTGTAGGCCTTATGTGTGGCTTGTTCCATAGTTTGCTTTTCATCCAAAAATTAATGGGGAGTCGCAGTGCTGGGTGGGTTAAGAGATCATTGACTGAAACATACAACTTTCCTCTAGTTCCTAAATGTTTCCTCCTCCTTCCCCACCCCACCCCCCATCATAATCCCAACTCTACCGTACAAGTCTGGCTAGACCAAAGGATGTACACTGGTACAGACAGGAACTGGAAACACAGAGAATCCAGGGCAGATGATCCCTTCAGGACCAGTGGTGTGAGTGGCGATACTGGGAGGATGGAGGGAGGGTTGGGTAGAAAGGGGGAACCGATTACAAGGATCTACATATAACCTCCTCCATGGGGGACAGACAACAGAAAAGTGGGTGAAGGGAGACATCAGACAGTGAAAGATATGACAAAATAATAATTTATAAATTATCAAGGGTTCATGAGGATGGGGGGAGCGGGGAGGGAGGGGGGAAAAAATGAGCAGATCCAGGGGCTTAAGTGGAGAGCACATGTTTTGAGAATGATGAGGGCAATGAATGTACAAATGTGCTTTACACAATTGATGTATGTGTGGATTGTAATTAGAGTTGTATGTGCCCCTAATAAAATGATTTTTTTTTTAAAGAGATCATTGGCAGAGGAGAGCACAATTTAAATCATTTCATTGGGGGTTCGTACAACTCTTATCACAATCCATTGTGTCAAGCACATTCGTACATTTATTGCCATCATTCTTAAGACATTTTCTTTCTACTTGAGCCCTGGTATAAGCTCATTTTCCCCTCCCTCCCCACTCCCTTGATAACTTATGAATTATTATTATTTTGTCATATCTTAGACTGTCCAACATCTCCCTTCACCCATTTTTCTGTTTTCTGTCCCCTTTTAAAAAAATCATCCTGGAAAAAAAACAAAACATTAAGGCGGGTAGTTTAGAGAAGAGAGTCAGGAAACACTGTTTGGTCCTGGTTTATGCCACAAATTAAAAGGTTGCCATAATCCACGGTAGAAATCAAGAGGACCCAAACCCTCTGGATTCTAGGTGGAAGAGTTGGGTAGCATCACCCCTGTTAGGGATGGAACAGAAGGAATGCTTTTTGCAGGAAAAAATGAGTTTTGTTGTGGACACAGAGGTGGAGTGCGTAAAACATCCCAGAAGGAGACTGTGGAGCACGCTGTTCTTAGTGCGGGGAGGTACGTAGAGGGACACTGCGGCAGCTGCGACCAGGTGTGTAAGCAGTGTGGCGCCAGGAAGGGTCTTCTGTAACCTCCCTTAGTTGGCATGGAGTCGATTTTGACTCTGCGTCAACATCTGAGTGTCAGAGTAGAACATGCTGCGCGCTGGTTTTTGTGGAAGGTGCTCTCTAGGTCTGTGCTTGGAGGTGGTGATTTGAAACTCCGGCCTTTGGGTTCGTAGCTGAACTTGTTAGCGTACCACCCAGAGACTCAGAACTTAAATGGAACTGATCTTTTCAGAGTTGTTAGTATTTCAGTTCAGCAGCAGTTGCTAGCTTAACTGCAGAAAAGTTATTTGTTGACCAAGTCAGGGTTAGAGTTTTGTAATAAAGAGCAACAATAGTAAAAAATCTGCCACCCTAATACGGCCACTTAGCACCTCCCTTGGGGGTCTCCAGGCAACCTCTGGCAAGCTGGGTCCTTCTTGTGCTGCCTTTTGACCTCTGCCCCTTCCTGCTGGCAGGGCTGTACCTTCTGGGCACCTATCCATGCAGGAGTCTGTTCTGGGTTGGAACTCTTGTGTGGCCTGAGGCCCTGCACTTCAAAACAATAAAAGGCACTGAAATGTTCAGAAGAAGTGTGCATTAGCTTAATCACACCCCCAAGTGAGCAGTACTGGGCCCCAGGTCTTCAATTCAGTGAGGCTAGAAGCGTCCTGGAGCCCTCACAACAAGTCCCAGCCTTGGTGACCAACTCCCCCCAGGCCTGGAGAGCAGAGCAGGCTCTGTTGTTGGTGCCAGGTGCCATCAGTCCTACCCCGGGGACAGTGGAATGAAACACACCCGTCCTGTGCCATTCTCCCCCGTTGTTCTTAAGTTAGAATCCATTATTGCAGCCGTTCGTCAGCCCATGGTCTTCCTCATAGTCTGTGAGCACACGGAAGGGTCATAGAAGACGGGAACCCAAGCGGCGGTCTTAGAAAGTTGATGAAAGAGGAGTACTAGGAGAGTAAGACTAAGGGGACTCCTGAAACTCCCACAATCTTCACGGTGGGGTTTTGGGGAAGAGATTGAGCAGGAGAGTGGAGGCATGGAATGGAATGATATAATAGGGAAGAAAGATGATGTGTGCCAAAATAACACACGGAGCCCATATAACGAAGACTGAATATTCTCCTCACCCATACGACTGTTAGTTTGTGAAGTGTGCTGGTCTATGTGGTCCCTGCGTTTGCAGTAGTTCTATATGGTGCATCATAGTGTAGACGCAGTGGAGATTTGGCATGTTTTTCTTTTTATCCAAAGATAAGTATACTATTTTATTACCTACTTTTAAAGCTTTCTTTCTCCCCCTTTCACTATAGGTTTATGAAAGTTACCCTGCTTATGATTTAACTGAAAGAAAGGATTTCATTAAAACAACTGTTAAAGAGGTAACTATTTCCATCTTTTCCAAACACTGCCAACAAGTTGATTCTAAGGCAGAATAGAACCGTCCCTGCGGGTTTCTGAGACACTCAATCTTTACAGGCTTAGAAAGCCTCATCTTTCTCCTCGAGCAGTTGGTGGTTTCAAACTGCTGACCTCGCCCATAGTTGGCCACCCAGCTCAAAACGCAGTATGCCCTCAGTCCATTTGTACATGTAAGACCTCCCCCCAAAGTTAGGTGCTTTTGTCCTTGTGTATCTTTCAAAGCATCCGTGATGCCACTCTCACATTTGGTCCTCAAATTCCTTGAAAATACATTGTGACTGATCCCTTTGTTCATTTCTGAAGCTAAAGAAATAATACCTGAGCAGGTAGTGACAAAGCCTGAACTCAACTAAGGTGTGGGCTCAGTATTGTAAGTAGCAAGACCCCCACACTTGGTTTACAACACGTCCTACGGTCCAGTGGTTCTCAGCCTTCCTAATGCTGTGATCCCCTAATACAGTTCCTCATGTTGTGGGGACCTCGCAACCATAAAATTATGTTCGTTGCTACTTCATAACTAATTTTACTAGTTCGGAATCAGGTGACCCCTATGAAAGGGTCAATGGACCCCCAGGTTGAGAACCACTGCTACAGTCAAAGGTGGAAGAAGCACCATGTAGCCTGTGTTAAAATGATCCCAGTGATTGCCCACAAGTCGCAGCTGGACACTGCTGTCGCTGTGGGCTGTGGAGTTGGTTTTCAGCGTGTAGCGAGAGCAACTTCATGGGGTCCCAGGTTGTGGTCTTAAGAGAGCAGATCCCTAGACCCTTCTCCATTAGCAGCCCAGTGCTGAACTGCTGCGTCACCTACCAAGGCTCCTTAGTCGTAAAATGGAAGTTAGAACTGGTTTTGTGATCTCTGTCGACTTTATTGTATGTTACTGTCACAGTGACATGGGAGGCCACCTCTGGCTCCCCACGCTGACTGCCACAAGGCCTGCAGGGGTCAGTCATGCTTCCTCCTCCCATCCTTCTGAACCCTAGTCTGATGCCACCCGGTCCTGTGTGACACTACACTTGTCTGCCAGGTTTTGCAACTCATTTCAGTGGCCACACTCTAATAACCCTCATAATTACGGGGCTTTTTAGAGACGTTAGCAGTTTACAAGGGAGAAATGCTCAGGATACAGTTCTTCAGTCAAAACCGGTTCTTCTCTGCAGTGTTCAGGCAGGCCTTTCTCAGGCCTTTCTCAGCCTCTTAGCCTGGTCTCTGCCCCATGCAGGCAGTGTTACAACACTCTTAGGGCTACCAGCAAATGTCCAAAGGGCTTGCTGCTCCACTATAAGCCCTCACCCAAGTGTTTTGCTCCCCCAGTTCATTGACAAGGCATTCCGCTCCATAAGCCAGACATGTGCCCCAAAACACTAGCTGTACTTGGTCTGTGGGCTGGGAAGTCCAGTTACCCAGCTCCTGCTGCTGTGGCTCCTCTGCTTGTCAAAGCTCTCCCCTGGATCAAGGAGACTGAATGGGATCAAGGGGTCTGCGCCTGGCTCCTCTCTTCCTCGTAGTGATGTGTCCCCCCTTTCTGCTGCTGGGGTGGCTTTGTATTCCAGTAGATTAACAATCATGTTATGCCTTGATAGTCATTCCCAACCTAATCATATAATCCAATCAATATCTTTGCCCCACCTTAGCCAGCTGTCAGGAACAGTCATTTGGTTTGAGGAAATCTGTGGCTTGGAGAGCTGTTAAATGATCCACTGCCTAACCGAGTGTGCGCAAGTACTGTTTACTCTCTTCATTACAGTTGATTTCTTGAGCAGACCGAGTTCTTCAGAAGTTGGAGACCGCAGACTTGGCCCTATGGACTCGCAGCTGATTCTTACCAGCAGAGACCGCGACTTCCTTTCCTACATCCTTGTTACGCAGTGTTGGTAGAAATTACTGTCGACCTTTTGATCTCCACGTGTTAGATGAATCTGACTTTGCCGTTTTTAATTACATTTCTGTGCACTGTTTAGTTTAAACTCTTGCATGGCTGTAATCGTTCCTTGCTTTTACAGTTGTATTTTGTACATTTTGGCTTTCTTTATGTTAAGATTGTAGATTCTCGTACTGTTGGGGTTTCTAGTGTGCTTATTAGCTTCTTTTAGACGGACATACTTTTAATCAAGTTCAGCAAAAGCTGTCATTACTGGCGTCCATACATGCGGAGAATGTTGCAGTATTTATATGTGAAGTATTTTGAAGACACATCTCTTCCGTCAGTCTAAAAACGCAGTTCTATGTGTTCCTCATATTAAATATATGAGCTACTGTTGTCAGAGGCAAATGGAACCTTTTCTCCTGCATGTGTACATATATGTCCAGTGTCAGCATGACAGGAGTGACAGATATTATTTTTATATTTCTAAAAACAAATTTGTTGTATATATAGTTTTTAAATTTCTTTTGTGCAGATCAATTTTTAAACTCAAAACAGGTGGGTATCTTTATAAACTGAGGGGTTAGTGTGTGGCCAGGCTGGTGTGGCAGAGCAGTGAGGCAGTGTGGGGACCACACTGCAGAACAGGCCTCTCCTGCTCTGCGTGGAAAAAATGTCATCAATTTGAAATTGTAGGCCACCTCTACAAAATGTCACTAGTGGGCTTTATATAAACATAGACCAAGACGAAAACGTCTACTTTGGGGGAGAGGGTGGGGTGAAGGATAAGCACACGTGGCTTGTATTTCATGAAATGAACTGATTTTTATTAACTGCTTAGCTTATATGAAATGCTGAAATTTAAAGGACCCCTGGCCACCCTCATAACGGGGAGCAAAGTAGCAGGTATAATGCCACAAGAAGATAGTGTGCCCACAGCAGTGGGTGCATGCCAGTGTTTCTCAAAAGTGATGATAAACTTTCATATGAAGTTCCATGTATTTGTGGAATCAGGGCTGTTGAGTTTTAACTTTTGGCCAATTACGATCCTAGGTGATCAACATATGAACCACTTTTTCTGTTGACTGAATTTGCTACATCATCTATGAATTCTAAGACAAAACACCCTTATGAGAAAGCCCTGTGATCGGCCTGTGGGGTTCTAGCTAACTCTGGACCACAGACATATGTGAAAATGTGTGTATTGACCGGTAGGAGCTGTCACAGCTTTGACTTGTGTTAAAGGTATCTGGGAAAGGCATACTTAATACAAATGAAATAAACAAGCGTGCCCTAAGAATTGGCCTTTGATTTTAAGTATTTAATTTGTTCGTATGAACTTTGTCAATAAAAATACAAAATCCATGGTGTCCTAATCTCGTGTATGATTGTTTTAATGTCCTGCAGGACATAGTTTTCTTCAGTGTGGGTTTCAGGAAGGGATTTTAACAAGAGAGTTGGCTCTCTAGCCTGTGTTTATCAGTGATCATTGAGTTTTACTTTGTCTAAACAACGGCCAAGAAATCATTAGGGAAACTTGATCTCATTTCAAGTCAGTGTTTGCACATTTACCTAGATACAAAAGAATGAGAGGCCTTCGAGGAGGGCCGAGGATTGGTTGGTGTGTATCAATCAAAGCCGCTCTGGGGGCAGATGGATTGCCCAGTGTTCATTACTCCAGTACACAAACTGTTTGCAAAAGTGTTTTTATTCAGCTGGTTCATACAACCAACCATTCATGCTCCACGTTGCATTTAAAACATCAGTTTGTTCACTGCTACTCAAATACAAAATGTCTCCAGGCAACACTGAAAAACAGTAATCCAGAATCAGAGTACCAAGGTTCCTTAAAGAACCAAGTATGTCACTTGAAACAGGAAATGAGGTTTTGGGTTTTT